AACGCTGGTTTTATTGCGAAGATTTGGGAACTCAACTTGGACCAATTATCAAGGAGTATTTTGCCTCCGAACAACACAAGACTGGCAAACCGATTCCAGGTTAGTGGGATCGTGGAGAGTATTGTGATTTTTTGGGGGGGTAGGGGGGAGGTCTTTTTCTTCATTTTGCCAATTAAAGAAATATATGTGTTGCCTTTATTTTTTTTCTCTGTTTCTCTGTTGATTTCCTTCCTCTATCTCTTCTCTCTCCCTTCTCTGTCTGTCTCTGTCTCTCTCTCTCACTCTCACTCTCACTCTCTCTCTCACTCTCTTATCTTATTTTCTCTTCTCTCTCTTCTCTCTCTTCTCTATTATTTCTTCTTCCTCTCTTCTCTCGTTTCTCTTCTCTTCCCTTCTCTTCTCTCATAACAAGGGATAAAAATCATAACAAAACAGAACGAAGTAAATATTAATTGTACGATAAACTAATTGGTCACTGTGTATATCACTGTAGAATGGATGGATAATTAAGACATGTCGAAGGGGTTTTACTGAGGAACTAATTAGAGTGAACTTAATAGTATCAAGCCTAGATGGGTCTTACCTGCTCTCGCGTCTGCCACTTGTCATGCGTAACAGGCAGTCGCAGCTATACAAATTAGGCTACGCATTCCACACACACCCTACAGATTACAAGCATTGTTTTTCTTTCTTTTATTTTGTAATATCTTTCCAATAAACAGATCACGAGTATGGAGGAAACAAGGAGGGGGATTTCACACGTAATATCCAACAGGAAGAGGTTATCACAGGGAAAGATATTTTAAATGAGAACAGAAGAAGGAAATTAAACATCCTTAATTGGGTAGCTAAGTGAGGGCGTAACGTGTCAGCTTGATAGCATCTTATTTAGGAACCAATCAGCAGTCAGTATCAACTTAGGAGCTTGTTACCCTCCCCCCCCCCCCTTCCCCCTGTTCTTCCTCCTGTCACCTGTCCGTTCGATCTATTCTGCCCACAAATAATTTGCCCACGAACACATGCCTATATAATTCCTTAGCCATCGCATATTTGTTCTCTGTAGGTAATTAAGACAAAGGTAGGGAACCACCTGTAATGAAATCCGATCTCAGCTTAACGGTACAATGATATCAGCTGTTTTTTTCTAATGACTAAACTGATTGTCGCGGCGAATTGGTGTCATATGTGCGAACTTTACTGATTTTATTTTATTATTTTTTCTGGTTATACTTTTAGTATTTGTGTTATCATAACCGGAGTGATTTTCGTTTGTTAAAATGTAAATCCCATAATTTGTGCAGAGTTCTGATAATTAAAGGTTTTATTCTCTCTCTCTCTCTCTCTCTCTCTCTCTCTCTCTCTCTCTCTCTCTCTCTCTCTCTCTCTCTCTCTCTCTCTCTCTCTCTCTTTGCTGTTATGCCTGATACACTCTCATTCATTGCTTGAGGAAATCATTATTGTAATGGATCAGGTCGAGGGAATCGATGCTTACGATTTCCTTTTCTTTAATGCGCATCACTTTTTTTCTTTGTTTTTAGGAACCATCTCCGAAAACCCTCCTTTTGTCCCGGATGCGGCGAGGAAGCTGGAGGACCCCTTTCCTCTGGCCAAGTGGCTCTCCAAACACAGCGCTGAGGTATTTCGCGCTCTCTCTCTTTCTCTCTCTCTCTCTCTCTCTCTCTGTGTGTGTGTGGTGCAGCGGTAGCAATCTCGTCTAGCAATTTTGCTGACCTGCGTTCGAATCCCTCGCCACCAGTGGATGGTAACCCCGGCCATTCCTTGCACACAGGGGATAATTTAGAAGCAAAATAAAACAGACGGTATGTCACAGCAAGAATATCCATTGTAACAAATGGAATCAAACTAAATTATTTAGTTATTTATGTATTACTCATATAGTCTATCTCTTAGAGAGAGAGATATACGAGCGAGTCTGAGACGCTATACGCAGCAGAGGCGAGATGGAGGAGTAAGTAGAGATAGAGAGAGAGAGAGAGAAGATCATCATAGAGAGAGAGATATATAGATATGCTCTCTATGACTATCATCTATCGGGATATCGTCTTAGATAGAGAATCGATTCACTATCTCTCTATCTCGAGAGATAGATAGCTTTTCGAATAGAGTCTCTCTCTCTCTCTCTCTCTCTCTCTCTCTCTCTCTCTCTCTCTCTCTCTCTCTCTCTCTCTTTCTCTTCTCAATTAATCTCATTTTCATTTACTCTCATGCCTCTCTTCATATTTATTTCCTTAATGGCCAGCAAAGCATTTCCATCTTCATCATGTTTATCTCTCTTCGTCTTTATCTTTTTTTTTCATACCTCATAATATTTATTTTCCTAATGAATAGACCATCAAGACAAAGACTATTTGTCCCGTGATAATTTGCAGAAATACAAACTAATGCATAAACACACAAACATACCCCCTCCCCCCACACACACACACTCACACACACACACACACACACACACACACACACACACACACACACACACACA